CCCCGGGAGAGCCTCAGCTGCCATGGCTGCCGCGTTCTCCTCCGCTTCCTGCTGCCCCCCGCGGCTGTGCTGGACCCTTCCCGCGGGCTGCTGCTGTTGCTGGGCAGCCCGCTTTGCACCGTGCCCACTGCTGCTGTCAGCTGGAGGAGGAGGGATACCTTTGGAGGCAAAGAACGAAGCATGTAGAACGCCCTTCTGTCACCGCGCTGTTGTCGCGGCGGTAGGGTCATTTTTTTCTTAGCGCTTCGGACGCTGTGGATTTGCCTCCGCACTTATGTCGGCGCGGATAAGGGCATCGCGGTTTTGTGGTGGAACCCAATTGCTATCAGGCCATGGACCGATAGCGGTTCATGGACTGGGGTGTTGGGCCCCACTGATCTAAAATGTTCTTCACGTCTCCCTGGACTCTGTGTGCACTTCCCCGAGAGGGGAACACCGCACAATTTGGAAAACTCTGGTCTAAACAGAAAGCTTAATCCCTGGGATTTGGTAAAAGCTAATATCTGAAGCCAGGAAACTTTGTCTCCCTGGTGTGAATGGCTCATTCTATTCCATCCCAGCAGGTCCCGGACTCACAAAAGATATTAAAGTAAAAAGACTAAAATACAATAAAATAAGAACATGCATGAGAAGAGGAGGGTAAGAACAAGATAAGAACAATGTAGCATCCAATTTTTTTACACCATACAACCAATATAATTAAACCAGATAAGGGCTGTAGTAAACAGGAAGTAGTTAAATTCTAAGCCCTCTGCTAGGAGCCTAATCAAGATTGTAACTTCCATCCCTACCTGTGTCACATTTTGTTCCTATATTTGTAGCAGAGGTGTATCATGCAGGCAGGGTGGGAAGTATATTGTTAAGCCAGGCTCCCCCAACCTAGCAGATATATAAATTTTGATTCCAGAATTCTCAGTGGGAATTCTGTGACGTTGCCCACACATCTGGAGGGCAACCAGATTGTAGAAGGCTATTAGGTTAATGCCTTAGAAGTTCTAAGGGGCAAATATAAGAACCCAGATTACTTCCCCTAGAAAGCTTTTCTGCCCTTAAGAAAAAGGTACACATCAGCACCTCTGCTTTGCCAAAAACATTTGCTCTAAAACCCACTCACCTAAATCAGCAATACAGCACTGCTTATTGTTCTTGACCAAGATATTCCTGCTTTTCAGATCCCGATGAGCAATGGCTGGCTTGCCCTGGGTGCCAAAGATCTCCACATGCAAGTGAACCAGCCCACAGATGATCGAGGTGGCCAAACGCAAGCAGGTCTCCACATCCAACACTGTGCATTGCAAGTAATCATAGAGGGAGCCATGCTCATGATAGTGGGTGATTAGCCAGAGTTGAGTACTTGAATTCCGTGATGTCATGTCTGATGCAATGAATCCTGTGGGCAGGGAAGGAGGATAAAGCTCAGCGTACATTGCCAAAGTACCAAAAGGGCCAAAGAAGCTATCAAAGTATGTATAAATTATGTTATGTTGTGTGTATGGGTAAATGAGACAGAGACTTTTAAATCTCTGAGCTTCTTCAGCTCTTTAAATCCCTCGTGCACATTTACTTAGCTTCATGGGTCTTAAAATGTGCGGCCTCCGATTGCTTGGCTAGGACGTCTTGGGACTGATACAGCTGCTGGATTTCTGCACTGTTTTCACTCACCTAAGATGTTGTCGTGCCTTAGCAGCACCGTGTTGTAAATCTCAGTCTCACGGAACCATGACTGCTCATCACGGGAAGAGAAAATCTTGACCGCCACATTCTCCCCATGCCAAATGCCACGCCACACTTCCCCATAGCGTCCTTTGCCTATTGTGGGGGAGAGGAACATAATTTTCAAACCTTTTCGCTTGCCTTCATAAATGACTTCTTGCCTAAGCTGACTGATATTTCACATTCATATTAGATGTAATCTTAGTATTTAAATATGTGACGTACCATATTTTTCGGAGTATAAGATGCACCTTCCCCCCCCAAAAAAGAGAGTAAAAATCTGGGTGCATCTTATACACTGAATACAGCATTTTTGGCCTCCTGAAACCCCTCTTCCTTCACAAAAATGGATGTTCAGAGGGTTTGGAAGGACTGCAAGGTGCTCCTGGGGGCTGGGGAAGGCAAAAACAAGTGAAAAACGGACTGTTTTTTGCCCATTTTTGCCGCCCCAGCCCCCAGGAGTACTCTGCAAGCCTTGTAAAGGCTATGCATGTCCTTTTTTTGGCAAAAATGGGCCTATTTTTGCTCATTTTTGCCCCCCCAGCCCCTAGGAGCACTTTGCAGGCCTCTCAAACTCTCTGCATGCCCCGTTTTTCACAAAAATGAGGTGTGCAAAGGATTTGGGAGGTCTGCAGAGTACAAAAACATTTTTTAAAAATTTACCTCTTCAAAATCTTGATGAATCTTATACTCCGGTGTATCTTATACTCTGAAAAATAAGGTACCTGACTCTTTTTTTTTTGCAGGAATTGACAGCAGTGAAAAATCCTTTGATCAATTTAATCAGCGATAGTTACTGATGAATAGTTGGCTATTATAGCCTGTTTTCCAAAACTGCCAGGGATAAATATGCAACCCATTCAAAATCTAAATACTATTACTTCTAAATGCTTGAGAACAAAACGTTTGGAGGATGATTGCTAGCAGAACGCAAAGTTTGTTTGTCAAATATTCCAAAATGTTTTGCTAGCAGAAAACTGGCAATAAGAGATATTTCCATGGAAAAATTAACAGATGACAAACAGCTCTTTCCTTGCCTAATGTTTACCCGTTAAGTTAAGAATTTTCTTCTCAGTATCTCAGAGTTAAGGCAGATCAACCCAAGTGCAAGCTGGATCTCCAATTTTGGTTGGCTTGCAGATAACAGAAAGAAGCATGTTTAATGAAATGGCTCAGAACTGAGTGATAAATCTTAGCATGTTTACGTGGAACATCGGTTAATGGAACAGAATAGTTCAGGCAGCAGGAAGACTACCCAGGGTTTGAATTTTTCCATGCACAAATAATCCTTGCACATAAAAGAAGTCAGGCTATTTCTTTGCTCGACTACAGAATCTGTTTTGCACCTCTCTGTTCTCATGATGTATTCTATATTCAGCAACTGAGCTAATAAATTTCTGCTTTATAGTGGGATAATCCTGTCTGGAAGAAAAATGATATTTCTGTTTATAGGGGAACTTGGCCCGCTTCAAGGCTGTCTGTCTTCTCCCTCCTGCCAGCAACCTTCAGGGCAGCCTATAACCAAGATTAGAAGCATTGGTAAAAGCAAATTAATTTCTGGTTATGAAATTAATATAGGGATGTCATGCAATCTTCACAGCTCTAGGTGAGATTTCTGAAGAGGAATCCTTAGAGATAAGGAGGTAGCTGAGCAGATTCACCCCATTACGAATATATTATTACTACGCTGGTGACGCAGCTAGCCAGATGCTTAGACTGGATTTCACATTTGTCCATGAAATTCTCCCAATGACCTGGGATAGCCAGATGCTGTTATTTAATAATATTAAAGGTATTGTTGCATAATGTTATACACTGTTCCAGGCAGCGGTGAAATCCTCTGAAGTCGGGTACCGGTTCAGTGAGTCTGCTACCGAGTGTGCGCTTTGCACCTGAGGCATGCTCACCCAGTGCTAAAAAAGGAACATTTTGAAGCCTTCCGAGTCTGCAAAGGCAAGATGAATAGTGGGGGGGGGGGAATCCTCTGTGCCACGTGATTTAGCTTAGCTAGAAATCAGGAAATTTGATGATTCTAGCTAATATAAATTGCATGTCACAGCTGATAGTCGGAAATACTAGTTCGAGCCAACCAGTAGCATTTTTTTTACTACTGGTTCAGGCGAACCGGTCTGAACCGGTAGCATTTCACCCCTGGTTCCAGGTCAAGCAGCCTTTTACAATTGGCTGAAGGTAATTTTGTCATGGTGATGGTATCATCCTCCTCCTCATCATCATCCAGAATTATACAACATGCAATAAAATGTGGATGGGAGGGTACTAACAATACTGAATTTTTCTTTTTTGCAAATTGAGGGTGGGGTCTCTCAGAGTTTAACTGCTTCAAGAGCCACGGTGATGCAGTGGTTAGAATGCACTACTGCAGGCTAACTCACTGCTCACTCCAGGAATTTGAATCTCACCAGGCTCAAGGTTGACTTCGCCTTCCCGGCATCTGAGGTTGGTAAAATGGGGACCCAGATTGTTGAGAGCAATAGGCTGACTCTGTAAACCACTTAGAGGGGGCTGTAAAGCACTGTGAAGTGGTATATAAGTCTAAGTGCTAGTGCTAGTGCTAGTGCTATTGCTTCATAATCTACAGTCTGTAGGCTCAAAGCACTTTATAGGGATTGTGCGTAGAAAGAGTGCTGTGTGTGGAAGTGTTCTGAAAGTACAAGCAGGAGACACAAATATGCCTCATGAATAAAGAGATGGCTCAAATTTGTATGTTTTATCAGAGAACTGGAATGTATATTCTTGTTTCCAACTGGTTCAGCAGTCCTCTGCCTGTGAGAATTCAGACGTTTCTTTCTCTCCTTAGCTTACCAACGCATTCAACCAAGGTGATCTGCCGAGCCACCGTTCTTTGGACTAGAAAGGGCAGCCCAGAGCCGCTTCCAGTAGTGCAGTCATCATTCAGCAAGACCTGAATAGAAATCAAACATGGGAAGAATTTTAGAGGAATAGATGGAGAGGTATATTTTGGTGAGAGTAATAAGCACGCCAAGCCTGCTTCTGGAATTTCCAACTCCTTAGTAAATTGCACTCTGCACCACATGCCCACGAAGGAAAGGGGAGGGGGTGTTTGGCAGCATTATGTGACAATTGCTTCCATCACAGGAATGCAGTGGGAACTTGCTCATGCAACTGTTAAGTTAATGACATGGTTGTTAAGTGAATCTGACTTCCCCATTGCCTTTGCTTGTCAAAAGGTTGCAAAAGAAAGTCACATGACTCCAGGACACTGCAACCATCATAAATATGAACCAGTTTCCAAGTGAATTTTGATCATGCGACTTTGGGTATGCGTACAACGGTCATTAGTGTGAAAAACAGTAATAAATCACTTTTTTCAATGCCCTTGTAACTAAATGAACTGCTGCACCCATAATTCTTTTACAATGTTCAGTTGGGCTGGAAAGAATAAAAAATCAAGCTCTAACACCAGCCAGAAATTATTCTAATGCACCTTTGTCATTTTGGTTTAGCTTGATTTAGCTTGCCATCTCAGAAAACGTCTCCTCCATAGTTTTATACCGATGTTACTTTGAAAGAAACTTTAGTGGATCTCTAGTATCCTTCGTATGGGGGAAGGCAACAGGGCTAACAATTAGCAGGGAACATGTATGTCAGGCCTGCATTTATATTCCTTTTAGAATTTTGGTCTGCCACACTTTCTCTTATTTCATTATGCTGTTTCATTAGTATAGTCGATGGGAGGGGGGAATAGAAGGATTGTGGAATGTATTGTTTTTCATTCTTTACTAGAAATCAAGGTCATCCTTTGTCTCCGCACCAGTACACCTGACTGGAAGAAGTTGGGTGTGGATGCCA